GATCACAGCTCGGTCTTCACACCATTACCATTCCGGCTCGCCATACAACTTTTCATCAACAGCTCCCCACATTTAACACACAGGAAGTGTGTTACAAAGGTGGACACTGTGGGATCTGTCGACATCCTGGCTGGCTGTCTCCATTTTTCTCTTCATCATGCATCCCTCATCTTTTTATGATCTTTGTGCTTGTTACATCTATACTCCCCTCCACAGCCCTTATTCCCTGTCAGAAGCCCTGGAAGGACTCATTTTTTACTTTCTTGATGAATCACATGACTCCATTGCAATCAGATGGAAAAGGACTTTACGACATGAGCTCATTTCTGAGCTCAGCAATGTTGTAGATGATCTTCAAGATTATCTACACTATTTCTCTTCTCAATTTCTTGTTTCCCCCTTGAATTCACTGGATCTTATAAAGGAGTTACAAGCAAGTCACAATGGATTCAGATACCTTAGTATTTGCTGGGGGGCAATCATCACATGTCTTGTCATCACACAGGACATTGTCAAACACAATTTTTGGGCTTGTCTTTTTCAACCAACTATGGACAAACTTGCAGCCTTACAAAGGCTCAAACATCCCCCATCTGTCATCTCACCCAATACGTTGTGGAACAAGTTGTCCACGTCCTCATCCGCATTCACATTCACTTCACCTTTCCATATGTATAGCACCCCCCACTCCCTATCCTATCCATTGGAGTCACAATGTCTACCGCTTAATGTGCAAAACAAACACTCACAAACAACACCATCAAGAACCGATCTCGCAGGTAGCCAAGAAGACCATACATTGTCTTCAAAACTCAACACAATGACAACTCACTCTGGGTTGGTTCCATTGAAATGCCAACTCCCGGACAACTCCCTCACATCTCACATTCTGCAGGTTTTTGGGGATCAACTGGGTGAAGTCTTTGTGCTACCAAACCTCGCTAACACCAGACACAGCTCATTCAGCTTGACTTCAACTTACAACATGGATGTGAGAGAACCAGGGAATTCAAAGGACAGTGGGAAGGTTGTGGAGGTCAACAAGCAGGATATGGGGGAGATGGAAGTTCCAGTTGAGGGAGAAGGGGTCACCACGGTGCTGTGCAGCCATTCGCCCTCTGTTCAACTGACTTGCATTCTAGGAAATTCGGCTAGGGAAGTTGATACGGTGTCTACAAGAACACCATCCTTGTCAACGGCACTGTGGCCCTCGTCAATGTTGTTGCCCCCCTCATCAATGGCATCACAATTCTCAACAACATTGTGGCCCCTGCCAGCAACATTGAAGTCCTCGACAGGGGTTCCTTACATTCCTTTTTCCACCCCCCATTTCCACCAGAGGCCTGCAAGGCCGCTTCCACACTCAATTCCCTTTCCACCCTCATCCACCAATATGATTTCTCGGCTGTGGACTTGTTTTTCATTTAAGGGACAACACACTCTGCCCTCCATTCCATTTGCTCCATTCTGTTCCCTTTCAACCACCCAAAGGCGACCAACGAAAGCCCAAATACCATGCTTCAAACCTTTGTCAGTCAACTTTCCGACTGCTCCCACTTTCCAACAACAATTGCCAAACGA